ATGCAGCAAAGTCCTGGATCCCCTTTCCTATTGGACACAAAAAGGCACAGGAGCCAGATCATTTAAATGAAGTTCAAATATAGGAACTGTGTGTATAATATGTTATCTTTTATATACAAAAGAAAAGAATAAATTATTATATATGTATATATCTGTGTATGTGTTTCTATTATATATGAGTACATACAATATCTATGGAAGGTCATACAATAAATTGATAAAATTAGAGGCCTTCAGATGTCTGGGGACTAGGAATAGAAGGGAAATGATTTCCCTGTAAAATTGTGAGTGTGTTAACTAGTCAAAAGTAAATTTTAAAATACATACTAAATTGTAAAAAATAAGTAAATACATTCTTATAATCAGGTATCTTTTGACCAAAACATGGAGTTCCAAATGCAGAAGTATATAACTGAGTCCCCCAAAATTTTAAAAATAATTCTGTAAATTATTTTGCTATTATAAATATTGGTAACATCACAGCTTAGAATAAAGTAGTATTCTGGCTCTCTACTCTGCTTGTGTCAGGCAATTTCAAATTTTAGTTTCTGGAACTTGCAATTTCCCAACTATAGGGCTTATTCCTGTATCAGAGGATGCTTAAATCTCAGGCACACTGTTTTGTAAAAATCATTTGACCATATATAGAGCTCAATTACCAGGATGTCAAATATGTACTTAGGACTCAAATATTTTCTCCATTTCTTGGATTGGCTCTGTGTTGGATTTTTTTCCTAGGGATGGTCCGTGTACTTGGTTACATCTGGCAAATCAGATAAAAACATATTCTTTAACCTTAGCAACATTAGCTGCATGAGAGCATCTCTTTCTCAAAATTCCAACACAGTTCCCATATTTGAACTTCATTTAAATGATCTGGCTCCTGTGCCTTTTTGTGTCCAATAGGAAAGGAGATCTGGGACTTTGCTGCATGCTCACACCTATTCAAGGATGTTGGGTCAGCACTACTCAACACAAGTGGACTGAGAGTTTAGGAGAAATCATTTCCCAAAGGAAAATTCAAATTTTGTTAGTGGTGAAATGAATTAGATACCAGAAAAGCAAAGCAGCAGATACCAAATATAAGAACATATTATAATGAAATATATTTCTCCAAATTTTCATTTAGAGAAAACAGAACTGATAAAAGATGTGACATTAACCAGTAAGGCTGTTGAGTTTGACTAGTACAAAGAACTCATCCTGATTTAGATATTGAACTGTTTACCATTACTCCAATTTTACTTTACTGCCAAAAACAATGAACAAAGAAGCATGAAACATATACCACTTGAGGAATGGAATGAGTGAAATCAGCTTCCCCATGGCTAACGGGTTCCTCCTGGAGGTGGGCTGACATTCAGTGGTCAGCATTCTGGATTGCAGAAGCCTGGGGCTTTCAGCTTATTATCTTCTGTAAGATATACCTTATGAAGGACACAGATTCTGCTCAACAGCCCACCCACTAATACATAGGGAATGTCTTCTTGTACCGTGATTAGATGTTCTGAATTCCCTTTGTTACTGATCCCTTGGGACAACCGTGTCTTACAAGTGGGATGAATCATGAGAAAACACCTATGGACATGGAAGCCTAGTGTATATTCAGAATTATTGAATGGCTGAATGAATAAATGAATAAGTTTTCACAAAAATTGACACATTTGAAGGAAACATTTTCAAGAAAAGTAGCCCGTTTAACTATAGAAATTTAGTTATCCTAAGTACTTTATCAATAGTAACACCATTGATTATTAAAACAGCAAATACTATTAACATGTGGTATATTTTTATATAATTTTAGACCTATAAGAATTCATGTTCAAATTAGAGTTAATACATTTAAGTGACCATTTTATTACACCTAGAAACTTACTTTATAAAATTTACCCTAATGTTTAAAAAAATTAAAATATTTTACTTACACTCAAATCTATGTACTCAACAGATGTGAACTCAATTAATCATGTTTCACTTCAAGAAATCCTTATAAATAAACTTTAATCCCATAGGACAGATCCATTAGTTATGCTTTCAGGGGAGGTATAACGAATGGATCTGTACTGGAGAGTTATGGCATTCAGTTAATATTAATGATGGAAACTCACTTTACCAAGCACCTTAAGAGTACCCAGATAAACATCACTTTATATGGCTGAAGCTTTCTTCAACATTCCTAAGTGGAACATAAAGGCATGCAAAAAAAGAAATTAGCATCAGCTTTTCCATAAGATCTTCATAGAAGATTAAAAATTCTTTGGTAGAGATATTATGTACCTCAATAAAATGGTCTGTCAAAGTTTATTTTGTGGAAGTTACAAAAGGCCTGATGAAAGCTTAGAAGCTATCAGTAAAATGACAGCCATGTATTACAATCCTAAAAAAAAAAAGCTGGTGATATTGCTATGAAGAGTATTTTAAAATAGTCTTTTTATGATATTTAAAAGTTTCAGATTTATAGAAAAGTTGCTGAGGTAATACAGAGAACTCTTGTACACCCGTCACCCAGCTTCCTCTGTTGTGACCATCCTATCTCAGCAGAGGAAGTTTGTCACAACTAAGGCCCAGTATTGATACATGGATATGAACTAAACTCAGCAGCTTATTTTGATGTCACCAATCTCCCCTAATGTCTTTTTTGTTATTCCAGGATTTTATCCAAAATTACACATTATATTTAGTCACCATGTCACCTTAGAAATATAATCTCTTATATTTTTCAGATTTCCTGTGTTTTTTATGAATTTGGCTTTGGTCAATTTTTTTTAAAAACATTCTAATTTGGGTTTGTCCAATATTTTTCTCGTGATTAGACTGAATTAATTGATTTTTTGTAGGAAGACCACAGGAGGGAATTACCCTTCACACCACACTATATCATGCTATTTGTATGATCATTTGTTGCGGTCGTGCTGTCCGGGTTTCTCCACAGTGGAGTTACCTCTCCCTCCTTTCCATACACTACTCTTTGGAAATCGGTCAGTAAACACAGCCTAGGGGTGGGGGTAGGGTATGAAGCCGCATTTCATACCCTACATAAGATGGGGGAGTGCCTACATAAATTATTTGGAATGCTCTGTAAGAGAGATTTATATCTTCTTCCCAATTATTTATTTATTTGGTCACATATTTAAGTATGAATTCATGACTTTTTTTGTTTTATACTTTCAGTGTACTTTGATACTACGTTATTTATTTTGTTGCTCAAAGTGTTTCATCTTTGGCAATTGAGAACTCTTTCAAATTTACTCCTTTATCTCTTTGGCATGTTTTATCCTTTTATCTTTTGAGCACTTCCTCACTTTCTGACACAGCAAAATGCTTCAGGATAGGATGAATCTCAAAATCATTTTGCTGAGCAAAAGAAGCTGCACCCAAAATAACTTGTACATTTCTGTTTATGTGAAATAAATGGAAGGCAAAACTAACTTACAGTGATACAGCACATCAGTGTTCAGTGTTGCCTGTTGAATAAGGGAACATCGTGGGGTGATGAATACCACTCTCGTGTGTATACCTCATATATATATCTGTGTGTGTGTGTGTATGTGTTTCTCATACATATATATGAGAGAAAATCTTTGTTTCTCCATTACACCATGTGATCAAATAGAAACAGCAATTCAGAATATTTCCTAAGTTTGATAAAAAAATAAATGGCCAAAAAGCTCTGAATACATTTAGAAATTAAAGTTAATAACTCACCTCAGTTATCTGATGCATGTATTTTCCAGCTTCCTGTCATAAATTCTGGTTCAATTTTTTCCTCACCTCTCCCTTTAGATGTTTAGATATTTAGAACTTAATGTATATTCTCATGTCAATTTCTAAAGTAGGTTCATGTTATATAAAAATTATGTTGTGTCTTGATTCATATAGTTACCATTGTTTCTGGACTAAACAGTCAGAAGTAATCTCACTTTAATTGATATTTTCAATGTGTCCAGTTTATTTTACACATCAATGAATAAAAAGGAAAATAAGTTTTGAATAGAGAGTCTAAGCATTTGTAGAAGTTGCAGCATCCCTCCTTTGAATTTGTTCTTTTGTTGGAACTGAAGTCAGCTAGACTTGTCAACTTGTTCCCTTATCTCCATCAGGGTTAATTCTTACTTTTGTTTTAGTTTTTACTGCAAAATTTCTTGTATTTATGTGCATCTACATCTGGAAAATAAGCTGAAAATGTAGGTGTGAATTATGTTCAATGTCATTTTGCTTATCCACTTAAATAGAAAATTCCTCTGAGAAAATAAGCTAAGTATGTAGTAAAATAACCTATGTTGCTACCTATTATGAAAATCCTTTTATTGCTTTAAGGAAAAAACAATGACAAGCTTCTTTTTTCAAGCCATCCTCTTATTTAAGAAGTTTTAAGTGACTACATTTTCAAAGGACTAGAAGAACGGCATTAGCAGTTTTCCAATAATGCTATTATATTTGTGTAAACCTTTTGTCCTTAAAATGATTATTTAGAAGAATATGGTAAAAAGGGTTATAAAATGTCAGGTTCTATGAATATGGCAATCTTAGTAACTTAATATTTCATTTTACAGTGGTGTAGTAATAGCAGACATACTTTTTATAATGAATAAAAACAGGGTACAATAATTTAACTCACCATAAAAGAAAGAAAAACTATTAATTCCTGTTTGAAAAATCGGTTTGAAAGACATGGAAATAGCAAGAGGTGAATCATTACAGATATAGCATTATTTTTAAAGAAAAGGTAAAAAATGCAGTAAGAAAATATAATACTAAATACTACTCTAACACAAAAGAAGATCACTGTATTTAATAAAATGTATTTGCAATCTACAGAATGATAATTTGAGTAATATCTCAGATAACTTCTTATTTCCAAGTGATTCACTATGTAAAAATAATTTGAATTTTCCTACATCCATATTTTTTATTTCAATACTAAGGATCATATTCTAAATTAGGAGTAATAAAAATACCTCCAAAAAATGTCGCTTCATTCCAATTTGTTTTCCTTGCAGAGTGCGGATATGAGCCCGGCGAGCAGCACCGCTTCACTTCCTGTTAGCCCCCTTGCGGAAGAGCCATTGCCGTTCAAGGTAAAAAAGATACAGACAAACAAAATCAATTGTTTATAATATTTTAGGATAGTTAATAAATATTAGTAAAATAGTTAACAAATATAGTAAAAGAGAAGTTTTATGCATAGGTGATAAAGTGAACTGCTTTAATCTGTAATAATCTTATATCAAATGTTAAAATATTTGGTTTGTTTTGTTTTATTGTCATTCTAGTTGCTAAATAAAGGTAAAGATTTAGAATAGAAATAAATACTTTATGGTACACTTTGTTTGCTTGGCATGTAAAATATAGTGATTTCACTGTAATAGTTTGATGTCACATGAATTTGAGGTTTCAAATTTTTTATTTATATGAATTTTAAGCAATGAACTTAAAATGAATGTTCAGCCCTCATTAGCTGGTTAAAATTTTATTGATGACTCTACATCATAATTATCTAATCTTTACAAAGTAATAATCAAACTTAAGAATTGAAATATAGAACTATTCCTCTAAAACGTTATATTTTTAAGTATTTAAGTAAATATGCAAATAAGTAGCATGATTAGTAGAATTCTTCAGTTTGGGAGTCTTTACACATTACAAACATATAGTCATGTTTTTGTTTTTTGTTATTTAAGATTAGATTTTTCTCTTTATGCCAAAACTTATAGATCATCTACTTTATATTTGTGCCAGGGATATTTGGATTTCATTAGAACTATTATAAACAAAGGCACTCCTTAAGATCATGAAGATATAAAGAAAAACTTGGAAAGTTGGGATGATACACTTAGTGCAAGAATTTACATTTAGTTTGCTTTAAAGGCAGGGAAATGTACATTTTGGGGTTCATTATGACTTTAATGATTTTTGTAATTACTATTAAATTGTTATTGTTTTTTTTTTCCTTCTTGTATGAAGACTATGTCTTACTCAACTTCACACTGCTTATACCTAGTACAATGGCTGGTGGGAATATTTACTGTGTTGTTAAAGTGAATATAATAGAAGCCTATTAATTCCACTCTGTATCTTAGTTTTTAATTCTGCATACTTTCTTGCTTAATGATAATAATAATTATTAAAAGCTTATTTTATATAATAAAATTGTGAAATACTGAATACTATTCTAATTATATTATTTATTGAGAAATATTTCTTTATGTACAACAAAAAGAGAAATATTAATGATTCATAGCTTAGTGTTACTTATTTTCATCTTATGGTGTATGGAACAAAATTTACAGAAGTTTTAATTGGATTTTCAAAACATTATCAGAAGCCATTTTCTCTTTTTAACATATTGACAATGCCTACACTTCTTGAAACTTAATGTATTTTTTAACAGAGGTAAAATAAAAGGTGAGATATAGACTAATATGAGCTGACATAAAGCTAATTTAAACATAACTATTTTAATTAGTTTCTCCTGTTGGTTCTAAGAGATCAATAATGTTCCTGTATTAATGCATGTAAGGGATTTTATCGTTAATTAAACCTTCAAAGTGCTTGTGATATGTAGTATTGGCTTTTGATAGCCAATATAGTTGTAGTACCTCTCAATTTGCTGCTTTGTAAAAGGAATGATATTTATATTTTTTCAAAAAATTTTATCATATATAAAAATATCTCATTAGTATTTAAAAGTAAAGTTCAAAATTATAAAATAAAACTCCTGCATTTGCTTCTTTAATTTTTATATTATAAATTGTTATTGTGTAAATGGATAATTGAATATTTACTTTTATGAAAACACAAAATATATATCAACTCTTTTGAGATACATCTTAGCATTATAGTGAATTATAATTATAAAAATATGTTGAAAACTGTTTGACTCATAAAAGACAAAGGTTTCCTTATAACCATAGCAGGAAAAATCCTGATATTATCATTTATTCACATCTAAAACTCTGTTTAAAATTATATGTGACTAAAAATAGTTTTGTCTCATTCCCCATGAATAGGGCATGGTCTTTCAAATTAATATAAAACTGACCCTCTTTAACCCCTCAGCTTCCTTTTCTAGGACAGTGATGCCAGCATCGCCCTCCGTAACCATCTGTTCTAATAAGGCCTCTGAAAGATGAGCTTTGATGGTTGATTAAGAGAATTGATCTTTCTTTTCTCCTGAGATGTAATTAAGTTACTAAAAGAAATGTATTCCATTCTTTTTCTTGATCTGTTTGGAAGTACTCATGCAATAGTTGGAGGAAAATGCTTTAAAGTGTTTTTCAAAATGAATGCTTTTCTTTAATTATCATCTGTAGAATGGCATTCAGATTAAACTGATTTTAACCATAATATTTCAAATAAGATATGTGTGTGTGTGTGTGTGTATATACACACATATATATCCATTTATATGCACATATATATCCTAATAATTACTAATTACCTTCCCACTAATATATCTATCTTTATTCTTGACCTGAATGTTAGATGAGAAATTGGCAATCAATAGGCCAATAGTACCACAGTAGGATCTATTAAACTAAATGGGGAAGAAAACTAGGTAGCATCCTGGAGAGAATCTCCCAAAGAGTCCAGAGAGGTAGATGAAGCAAGACAATTCAGTCATGTTTGGGACCAAATACTTCTTTTCCACAAAGGCAGTATTTTTGAACACTATTAACATTCTTCAAGTTAATTTTTAAACAAAGCAAGATCCTCACTGAAAGATAGTTCAGGCCCCGTATATTTACTTCTCTGTTTTCTCCATAAAGCATTTAACCTCCTATTAAACTTCTTAAGCTTTCACTTACCATTTAGAACCTATTGCTGTAGTGTTTTGTATCACTTAGCTAGTCTTTCAAAAATGAGGATGTTTTCTACAAATACCTATCCAGTCTTAAACAATTGCTTGGAACTGTGTGCCCCTCTTTCAGGTAGAATTGAGTGACTAAAAGTGAGTAGGGCTGGGCATGTGAATGCCACTTTACCACAGTTGTCACCACTCCCTGCTGTACTTGTGTTGGGCCACAGAAGCTGTTGAGTATAACCTTTCAGAGAAGAAGACTTATAATACATGAGTTTCTACATTTTACTGCAAGTAATAATCTCACAGATTTCCTAGTAACACTCTTGGTGCTGAGAAGTTTCTAGGATTCCAGTTTCATATATTTGTGCAGACTATTGTTATGGACATACTTTTAGAGACAGAAGGCAAATGAATAACCTCTATTTTTTCAAGATTATATTTATTTATTTTTAGAGAGAGGGGAAAAGAAGGAGAAAGGAAGAGAAACATCAGTGTACAAGAGACACATTGATCAGTTGCCTCTTGCATGCACCCCAAACAGAGACCCTGCTCGCAACCCAGGCATGTGCTCTGACCCGGAATCAAACGGGTGACGTTTTGCTTTGCAGGACTATACTCAACCAACTGAGACACTCCCATCAGACCTAACCTCTTTTTTTAAATGCAGTAGTTAGCATTACCTTTAGTAATCTGTATACACAACTGGTCTGTGGTATGCTGCTACATCATTATGGAAGGGCCAAGGGATAGCTAATTTTGCCTGGGTGCGAATAATGCATTACCAAATAAACATAATAGAATAATAAAAGTTCACAATCATTTGTCTAAGGCTTTGATTTGAAAAAAAAGGGAGAGTACAACTGCTTAACTGTTAATTGCAATTTTTATGTTTTTCTGTAAAATAATAGTGAACCAAGTTGACATTGTTAAATTTAGTTTTCCCATTTTACTATATTCTACATTTTCTCTCTGGCATTCCCCCTGATTTCTCTTAACCATCTAATTACCTACCTCCTCACTCCCCATGCCAGGCTCAGTCAGACACTCCATGTCAAAGATGCCTTGGGGCCACCAAATTTTACTGTTCTTTAGTGGCATCGCTCTATTAATATATTTGTATATTGACAGTTTCAATCCATCCTTGGAACTAGCACTCTTGAAGCCAAACCTGGCTCATCATTCCGGATCCCTCTATAACAATGCATGCTATTTTGGCCATGTTCTTTTTGCTAGCCACTTTTATGACATATTTTCCAATTTATTTATACTCCAGTGAAACATGGCTGCTAGATTTGGTTCTTTTTCTCCAAAAATCATCTTTTCTCTCATTAGATATGTTTTTTAAAAAAGGTATTTTTCTCCCTTACCCCTTTATCCTTGTCTTGTGAGAAATTCAACAAGATAGAAACAAATTTAACTCTATTTCTCTTTAGACTCTGCTTCAAAAGTATGCAAAGGCAATAGACGTATATTTTCTATTCACCAATCTTCAAAGTCTAAAAGTAAACAAAAATAACTCATTACCTTTCTTGGCTCATTCATTGACTGCTGCTTCTCTGTGATATTTGAATTCCCAGACTGTCTAATGAGTTTGTGTATCTAGTGCTTAGAATACCCAATGCAGCCACCCAATGGGAGGTCTAGCCTCCTTCCCAGAAGCAGTCGCAGAGTGGCGCTGGGCTCTCACTGGGTCTCCTCATGCAATCTGAAGTTCTCTTGACTACTTTTCTTCATCCCCAGAAATCATCATTTACTCTGGACTAGAAAAATTCTCACTCTTTAAAGTTTCCTCAGATATTATTCCTCTCTCCTTTAATAAGCCAGGGTCTGGAAAAATCATCTCAATGTACTTTTTAGAAATAGAATTAAGGAAAGGAATTGTCTGAAGTATCTAAAGATTCTTCTGTCCTGATACAAATCTCACTTTAAGAAGCACAGAGTCACCTGTTTAAGCAAGGGACAGGAGGTGGAAATAGAGATATAATAATGTGTCAAAAAATACATCCTGTCATGAAACATTGGAATGTTAGGGGGAGAAATGATGGTAACTCCACTTGACTTGGTAACATGTAGTAACACAGACAGTTTGCTCTCAATAATATGAAATATTTACTATATAGGAAAAAAAAAACAGAAAATGTACAACAATCAACCATAACACTTTAAAGGGTTTTTTTTTCTATAGTTTCTAAAGTGGCCTTTTATCTCTGCTTTAAGAACAATATTTATTTTCAAGAAAATGGAAAACAGAGTTGGGAACATTAGAAACAACGT